ATCAGGAAGGTTTCCATGTTTTCCTTGAAGTAAGAGTTTAAAAAATCAATAAATTGTCCTTTTCTTCACAGGCACTGAAGTTAAAAACTATCTTCTTTTTCATCCGACACAAATCTTAAAAGATCCCATCACTTATGATAATCTCTTATCATTCTGATTTGTTTGAAAACCATCTATTTCCTTTCCTTCCCACCATAATTTCTCAGAAAAGATTCTGAGATCAAGATGTTTTGGCTAGCGCTGCTTATGTGCTATTTGGAAACCAATTTATAGGAGCAGGACTTTACTGGTATCCCAATAAACGTCCCTTGCTCATGAGTCACAATAGCTTGACCTTAAACACAGGTTACAGCCTCCTGGCACCAAACACTGGGGTAGATGTTGTGCATGAAATAGGGAAAGCTCAGCAAACTGCTCTTACAAAAAGAAAAAATTCAATCAATTCCGCCCATGAAAACCTAAAGGGAATTTTGTTTAACACTCACAATCTGCACTGCATTCTGATTGGGTGTATGGGTTACATGGCACTGTTCTGCTTTCCTTATTTCTGCTGGGTGACCTTGGGATGAGGTTTGTAAGATGCTGATATTCAGAGCTGGCTTTCTTGGACCAGTTTCTCAAAGACAACAGCTCTCTGTGCCTGTGAGCCACAGCCTGCCCCCATCTTCACATGCCAAGAGCCACAAACCTGCCCAGCCACTCTGTGAAGAGCTGCTGGAGTGCTTCAAAGGCCAAGATGACAAGAGCTCCCCTGGGCTGCCACCAAGCCAGCCAGTGTGAAGCAGGGTTATGCTGGGTGTGTACAGTTATCACATACTGCATTCTGCAGGGTTCTGGTTTTTTTGCTGCTGTATTGAGAACTCAGGCTGTCCAGTAGCCCCTCTTCCAGCACAGCAGCTCTCTGGCTGCTCCAGGGATCACATGTAACCCTGTAATCTTCTCTTAGGCTGTTTTTGGATTGCTCCCATGGCTAGGACCAAGGTGTGACACAAGTACCCAGGCTTGCTCTAATTTTAGCAGTACAGCTCCAGATCCAGGCTGCATCCTGCACCTCTGCTTATGCACTTGGTAACCACCAGACCATGAAGTTTATAACACACAGGCACACCAGGCCCAAGTCTTCCAACACTGCAGTCAAGCCTCTGACTGCAGGATAGATACAGGCAGACACTTCAGAAAGACTCTATTTATATTCTGCCCTACTGGTAAATTCATTCCTTGGACAACTCATGCAAAATGGATAATGCAAATAAACTGCCACATTTGGAACTAAGCTTTTTTTCATACTCCAGTGAATATGAGCGCAATGGATTGCTTTTCTTTTTTGTGTGTCTTTCTGCTTTAGCGTGTTTGCCAAGCTGCAGGCCCCAAAGTGCTCGGTTCAGATCTGGGGGAGGACGTTGCAGTGATCTACTGCTGAGACAGAACAGTGCAGGCACTTCTAACCACTGGCTCTTGAGCCCACAGACTCATGACTAGCATTGATCTGGAACTGATGAGCGGCTGGCTGTTTTACAGCACTGCAGCCCTACAGAAGGCTGTTCCTTCCTCACTGCAGGGTAAGTGATAAATTCATGCAGAGCATGGACAGTCGCAGGGGAAGAAACAGAGAGGCTTGCTGTTCAGGAAGTGACCACTTATCCTTGTACTCACTCACATTGACACTAATGCATAGATGCAACATTCACATAGGAGACAGAGCAAAAAGACTGACACCTCTGCGTACAGCGCATCCTCCTCTCCTCCGCACGCAGGACTCAGTCTCAGCAGTAGGTACAAGCAAGGAGCTGAGTTTCCCATGGCAGCAGTGATTGCTCTGAGAACTGTCAGCGTGGCTCCAGGGAGCACAACAGCTTACTCCCACACAAAGATGAAGAAGCACTTTTCTTTCCCATCTCCTTGTCATCCTGTAGCACGCACCGCGCCAGTGGCAAAAGACTGCCCCTTCTCTTTGTCTCTCTCTCTTTTTCAAGAAGGTGGAAAACCTCCTAGTTCCATACTGTCATTGGAAAACTGCTGCTTGGGTCGAGCCCTGTTTGAAAAAAGACGGTCGTGTTTGCTCTGCTGGGCTCTGCAATGCATAACAGAGTCTGCATTGCAGTCTCCAACTGCAATCCAACACCATCTGTCCCTTCCACTTGCAGCACTGCATCACTCCAGGGTGTCTGCTTTTCAGGAGCGACCCGGAGCGCACCCAGCACTGCTGAGCCCTGCTACCCAGAACGGCCAGCAAATGGGCAGAACGCCCCACCTTTCTGCTTTACAACAGTGAAATTACACATGGCTGCTCAGTGAAACTGTGTGAGAAGTGAGACGGAGAAAGGGAGCTGATTTGCTTACATTTCATTATGGTTTTTTTACAAATTCAGTACAATGAACACAAATGTATTCAATTCCTCTTCAACCATGTTATGGAAAGGAAGTCAAGTAGCAGCACTGAGCAAGTGCTGAGCTTTGTGCTGCCATAGCTACCTGTAAATCAGTATGAAGGACCCACTTTGACAATCAAAGGCCATCAACCCACCTTTCCCTAGTGCTCTCAGATTAGAGGACAGAGAAGCAAAGCAACCAAGGGATGAGACAATAGAGCTGGAGATATTTCACTGCTCAGCTCAGTCTCCGAGCTCCTGAGTCACTCCACGGAACACATTTCTGCTTCATTTGTCTCCATCTCTCAGTGCACTTCCCGTCTGTCTGTGCTATGAATCAAATTAACCTAGTAGTGAATTCTTAAGGGCTGGAGCTGTCTCCCCTCCCCTCTTACATCTGTACAGCACCTTGCACAAAAGTCATCCCAAACTTCAATGAGCCACTGTGGCCTGCTGCAAGTGAAACATTCACAAATTATAAGGCTACAAAGACGAAGCGTGAAATTTGTGAAGTATGCACTAATACTTTTTCTCTGAGTCTGTGAGGCCAGAAGGAGGAAAAAGGTTTGCCTCTGTCATGAATTAGTGTTCTGACAGCTCAGTGTGATCCAGCTATGACTTGCATGGCTGCTTCCCCTTCACATTCCCAGGAGCACACTCTGCATTAGATCATGCTCTGCGTCAGTCTCTGCTCCAAAGCAGCATAGAAAAAATGGAAAAGAAGATGAAATTGCCTTGACCAGCTTTCCTTGTCCTGAAAATATGCTACTGGCATGTGGAGAAAGCTGCAGGGAGCTTTCTCTCTGCTTTGGAGAGCACAGAGATGGGAAAAAAAATAACTAATTTTCAAGCTACTGGAAAGGTGGTGACTTCTCTCACATGAAACCTGACAACTTGTTCCATACCACATCCTTATCTTTAAATTGGAGATCGAGGTTTGAAAGGTGGACAATTTGGCAGATAAGTAATTGGTTGAATGGTCACAGCCAGAGGGTTGTAGTCAATGGTTCTGTGTTCAGGTGAAGGACAAGTGCTGTCTCCCTGGGGCCTGTCTTGGGACCAGTATCCTTTACCATCTTTTCAATGACATCAGCAAGTTGGCTGATGGCACCGAGCTGAGTGGTGCATTTGATACGACAGAAGCAAGAGATGCCATCCAGAGAGATCTGGACAAGCTTGAAAAGTGGGCCCATGTGAACCTAATGGGATTTAACAAGGCCAAAGTGTCACACTTGGGTTGAAGCAAGCACAGATACGAGTACAGACTGGGAGAACTCCTTGAGAGTGGCTCTGCAGAGAAGGACCTGGGGTCTTGCTGGATGAAAAACTTAACATGAACCAGCAGTGTGCTCTTGCAGCCCGGGATACCAACAGCTGCACTGGAAGAAGGGTGGCCAGCTGGGAGAAGGAGGTGATTGTCCTCCTCTGCCACTGTGAGGCCCTATCTGAAGTAATGCATTCAGTTCTGGGGTCCCCAGCTCAGGAAAAATGTGGAGCTTTTGGAACAGGTCCAGAGGAGTACCAAGAACACACAGAGAGCTGGAGCATTTCTGCTACAAAGACAGTTTGAGGGAGCTGGGTTTGTGCAGCCTGGAGAAGAGAAGGCTCTCTAAGAGAAGAGGTAGGAGACTTCCAGTACTTAAAAAGAGCTTATAAGAAGGAGGGAAATCAACTTTTTACGTGGATAGATAGTGATAGGACAGGAGGGAATGGTTTTAAACTAAAAAAAGGGAGATTCAGATTAAATGTCAGGGGAAAATTTTCACTGAGAGGGCAGTGACGTGTTGGAACAGGCCGTCCAGAGAAGTCATGGATGTCCCATCCCTGAAGCTGCTTAAGGTCAGGCCGGATGGCGCCCTGGGCAGCCTGATTTGGTGCCTGATTTAGTGCCTGATTTAGTGGTTGACAACCCTGCTCATGGCAGAGGTGTTCAAATTACACGATCTCTGACGTCCCTTCCAACCAAGCCATTCTGTGATTCTATGGTTCTATAATTCTACGTTGAAATTCCTCTGGGAACAGCACAGGCTAGTGGGGCTCTTGCTTTTCACCAGACCATTATGTTTTTAAATAGACCCTATTTGTCTGCAGAATGTTCTTCTTTCCTCTTCCCCTTAACACCATGTCAGAGAATTTAGAAAGTGAGAAGGCTATAAATACATAACCGAGCCATTTATTTAAGACCTAAGGATGTTAAAGAAGTTACCTGGACAAATGAATGCCACAGGTTCTGCAAACCAGCTGTCTCTAGACCTTTCCATTGTGCTGTCTCTGGATCCTTGAGTCTCTGAGGGGCCCACGACATGCTAACTGCTCCCCTCACAGGCAACTCATAACTTCATGCTGCCTGCAGCACTCATCTCCCAGGCCATATATACATATATTACATACATATATACATATATTACAACCCTGAAGGAGACAGCACAGTCTCAAGTCACTAAGTAACAATGCGGAAGGCCCTCTTGGGAACCTGCTCAAAGCAAAGCGTTACACTCAAGACACAACTCTCCAGCATCCACACCAGAACAAAGCAGGAGAATGGGCATTCCATGAAGGCACCTTTGTGGAATATATCAGCATAAGTGGACAAAAGACTTAGGATGCAAGTGCACCACAGCCTCTGCTCACCTCCTCCCACTGATGAATGTAGCGGATGAGCCGGGAGAGCCGCAGGAGCCTCAGGAGGCTGAGGATCTTGGTGAAGCGCACAATGCGCAGTGCCCGGGCTGTCTTGTACACCTCCGAGTCGATGCGGGTCTCAACTATCAGGAAGATGTAGTCAACGGGGATGGAGGAGATAAAATCCACCACAAACCAGCTCTTCAGGTACTTCATCTTGATCCTCTGTGGGTCTAGGATGATCTCTGTGTTGTCCTCCACCACAATGCCTGTTCGGAAGTTGAGGACAAGGTCGATGAGGAAGAACGTGTCCGAAACCACGTTGAAGACAATCCACGGTGTGGTGTTTTCATCCTTGAAGAAAGTGATGCCCACAGGGATGATGATCAGGTTCCCTACCATCAGCAGCAGCATGGTCAAATCCCAATAAAACCTGGACAGCGAGACAGAGACACTTGAAATTAGCTGTGGGAGAGGGAAACAGGGAGCTCTCGTCAACAGAACTGATGTACTTCATACATCTCTATTGTTGCTCATTACCTAATCTTTGCTCGTCTGCCTGATGTTTTCCCAGTGCACAAGCAGCCAGTGTAATTAAGCATTTAATATCAACGGGACGCTCATTTTCTGGCTGAAAATGTTCAGAGATGAATTGGGTACCTGGCTGGACAACGCTCACTGAAAAACTTTCAGTGGGCCTTCAGGGCCACCAAGAAGGCAGATATTTGAAGTTACTGCAGTGATTACTATGAAAAGAGAGAGAGAAAACAGGTATTTGGGAGGGCTCAAAGTCAGCAAGTCGATAAAGCCTTTTGGCTTTATTTGGTCAGGCCTGCTCGCCACCATCTGATCCTTCTTTAGAAGTAGCTGGCACTGACAGCATTGGCATCAGGATGGAACTAGAACCTGCTGGAATCTCAGGTGTTCCGTAGGGCTTACACTGAGCTTGGACTCTGAATTTAGCCCACGCTCTGTAGATTCCTGTGCTGAACAGAAATGGTCAGTAAAGCCCAGAATCACACATCTAGCAAGAACAACACTGAACAACTGCACCATGAAGCAGTCTTCAAGAAACTTACCTTCATCTTAATGGCGAGTTAATAATAGCCAGCAGACCTTACAACAACACTCATTTTCATTTTTGAAGACAGTTTAAATAGTTCCTAGTTTATTTGTTTGGGGTTTTAAAAGATTTTCCCCACGTATAAGCATAAAAGACACACAATCACATGATGTTACACAATCACTGAATCATAGGAATGGGAAGGGACCTCTGGAGGTCATCCAGTCCAACTCCCTGCCAAGGCAGGTTTCCTAGAGCACAGGAACCTTCTGTACATTGCTGCAACTCACCCAGAGTGCAGAGTGAAATTATTTCTGGATCTCATACTTTGTTGAGGAGTCTCACGAAGGACCCACATTGCCCAACACGGTGGTGATCCAATCCCTCCCAGATGCTTCACATGTAGAGATGCCAATGCACTGTGTTCTCAGCTTGCCAAGGTTCCACCAGCTCTACATTGTACACTACAGGGCTGTTACTGTTACACTGTGAGGCATCGTCAATAATTTATATTAAGACATATCTGTCACAGTGAACAAACAATGTGCAAAGAGCAAACTGATTTTCAGCCTCAGTTGCCTGTACCTGAAGATGCAACATTCAGAAAGCTGCAGCAGTTCTTCCAGTCAGTCACACAAACTAGCATGGTTGCTTATGTTCATATTATTGACTTCTTGAGCATCAAATAAGCCTAACTCCCTAGACCATGAAAAAGAAACAGCAACTGAACAGGATTCAAGCACAAGGGAGGAAACTGTGCCTTCCCTTAAGCCAGACCGTCTCAATACCAGTGAAGTCAATGTGTGATCTGGATTTACAGTGATGTGATGAAGGAAACTGCTGGGTTTGTTGAATAAAGGTGTGCACGTGCTGCTTGTTCATTTGTCAGACCAGCTACAATCAAAATCACTGAAATGTTTACAGAAGAGCAGATGTGTCTCAAAGATCCTCAAAATCTAGTTTTAATAAGAATTGGTCCCCCTCAAGCCTGTGCCATGGCCCAGCTGAGCTACTGCAGAACAGCATTGCTGCAGTGAAGCATCTGCAATGGAAGGGCAGAACATGCCTCAAAAGCCCTGCCTGCATAGGCTCTCTCTCCCTAATCAGAATTTAACACTCTGATGTACCTCTAAGGGTATTAGAGATGCCAGTGATTGCAATGGACAGACAGGGTCACAAAGCAGCACACTCACAATTCCCAGAAACATCCAGCAGAGGCTGATGGCAACTGCCTTTTGCAGCTCTTCACTAACGAGGTTTCCTGAGATGTTCTCCGCTTCTCGCTCCCACGGTGCCATGCAATGCTTCACTCAGTGTGAAAGCAAGGTGCTGGCAGAACTCAGCAGATAGGTCCCTGATAGGTCCATATGCTCCTAAGAGCAAGGCTGTGTCACATGGCAATAAGCATCAATACTGTGTGAATCTATGAATCTTCCTTATTAAGGCCCTGAGATGATGCTACATCTTTCCTAGTCAATTAATCTAGATAATCGCACAATAGCAGGAAGTCTGGAAGCTGTGTATGTTATTACAGAAAACAAATAACCTCCCAGCCATCTTTAATTTGCCTGCAGGGAATACAGGAGGAAATAAGCACAAAGAAAATTATTTTTCCCAAGTTTCAAATTAATGGCATGAAATAGACATGGCCAGACACGCATAGACACGAAGGTAAAGGGCCTTCCTCAGAGATCTCTGGATTCTTCTGTCTCTCTTCCCTGCGATGGTTGGTGACTTCAGTACTAAGAAGCAACTGGGGACAGCTGCCAGGATGCTCGCAGCTCCACTAAAATGCTTTCTGTCTGACTGCAGCACTTTCTGAGTGCGGTCACACCACGGGCAGCAGCCCTGCATCCTGATCTACAGCACTTCTTGATATTTCAGTTCTTGCATACTCACATTCCTCAGTCCCAGCCTGCAGGTGTTGATGACATACCAGTGCCCAGCTACCCACGGGGAAGCACAATTTGCCATGTGCAGAAGCAAAGATAAAGGGCTAAAATTTGCTGCTGTGTGTTTCTTAAACCACCATTCTCCCCAAGGGTGTACTGGTGACTACAGATTACTGCCAGGCTCCCTTCCATTCTCACCATTAAACCCATCACTTACAAAACACAGAAGGTAAACTTTTATATCAAGTGCACTGCCTTCTAAGAACGGGATATCCAGAATGGCAGGGAGGAGATAACCTTTGGGCTCTAGGAAGGAGGTAGAAAAGGTTGTAAACCACCAAGGATTTGGTGTGCACATTACCCCAGCACAGTAAATTCACCTGCCTTTACAATGTAAACTTGCTGGAAGTTAAATTTCAACTACTAAGATTCCAGATCTCCTGAACATCCAATCCGCACACACAGTCTGACCTGCTCAGAGTGGAAACACTGGATTTACACTGAAGGGACTCTCGGGGACTGCGGTACCTCAGAGTTCTGATACCACCCATGCAGCATTTTGTATTTACACCAAGGAACACTTTTCACTCCCTGTAAATTATTGGCGAGATAGCAGAGCATGTGATGTACATAAGGGCAAGCACTGATACCAATAATCTATGTTTCTCATATGGTCTTCCTTCCATCTAGGGATTCCACAGAGCTGGCGGTGATGAAATTGGCTCCATCACACCCATCAGAGGCAGATGGAGTTAATTAGTCCTGTCCTGCAAGCAGAGAATCCACATGGCAGAACTGAGAGAATGGGATTCATCCATTGATGTCTGAGGCTAAGGGCTTGGTCCTGAATTTGATTCTTGAGCATGACCAGACTGGAAACTGTTTACATGGCTTGGAAAAGGGTCTAACTGAGATTTGTACTACGAATATCTTCCTTTGATAACCTGACTTCTCTTTTCTCATTTGCAAAAGCATACAGAAAAAAAAATAATAGATTCACATCATGTATTGTTTTATTAGAGCTGACTCAGTGTGACTGAGTAGCTTGCAGCATGGGGAACAGCCAGCACGATATAAGCCAGATGTGTTGCTTGCACATACTTGTTTTTAATACTACATCCAAGTCTACACCACTTCTTAGAGCTGAAAGTCCCATTTTAACATGTACCACAACCTCTGAATGGTCAATTCCTAAATAGCTGCAACAAAATATGCGTAAGAACTAACGTGGGCAAAGGCACTTCCAGACCATGTGCTCTTTGAACATGTTTGGTGATACACAGCTGATGTGAAAGTATGAATTTGTAGGTATTACTTTGTGGGTGTGGATGAGGGAGTTGGATCAGTTTTCTGTTCTGCCTAGTGCCTGATTTAACAGCAGACAAGGAATATTGCTTTTGGATGTAACTCTTATTAAATAAACCTTGATTTTTAAAATCTATTCTACGATGCAGTGTAACCAGTTATAGTGCATGAGCTCAGGAAGGATAGTGACCACTGGACTGAAAATAATGAATTGCAGAGGTCAGCCTGCTCAGCACCACTGCGTCGCCCTGGCGTTCAGAGACTTTCCCTGAGTGGGGCACATTTGTGGCCTTAACTTCTGTTCTCGCTCAGTAGTGGTTGTGCTGTCAAGAGAAAATAGACTTGGGCAACCTCGCCTCTAAATTAACAAGGCTTTTTGGATGTCTGCAGCTTCTGCTGTAAGGCAGCCAACTCGGGGTTGAACTGAGGAGCTGCCTGACAGTGCGTGGAAAGGAGGCAAAAATAACAACGCATCTAACTGAAAATGCCAGGGAACCAGATATCCTCACCAATGGAATCCAGCTCAGACACTGCGCCGAACCTCCCCTACCTTACAAGAGCACATCTTTGATGAATGTAGCACGCTCGTACCAAAAGCAAAGACAAATTCAATCGCCCCAACAAGCCCAGGCACACTGGCTTAGAGCTCACTCAGGAAACAGAGTGCCACCTACTGAGTCACCAGCCACGTCCCGATCCTCTGCTCCGCACAGGGAGGGATCGCTGTGTGATTCCTTCAAAGAATTGATGAAAATCTGCCCTGTTCTGCAGAGTGGCAGCTCCCTTCCCCCTCCAGCTGCATGCTGAATGATGCACTGCTGCGCTCACCAGCAACTACCCTGACAGGAGCGAGGTCGCACTTTAATTCCCAGGACTGCTAGTGGGGCTAGAAATAGAAATCATCTTCTGTAAAGAGCATTAGTGGATGTCAGTGTGGCTGGAGCAGCAATGGTGGGAGGAGAGTTTACTCCAGAAGTCAGCCATTCTCATAGGTAACATCACCAAGGAGAGAGAGAAAAGCTGGGGGAGATCCTTCCCTGGCTTTGGAAGCACTGCCACTTCCAGATATGAGCAGGTGCATTGCTACTGGAGAGTTACAAACTTTGCATTATTCACAGAGATAATAGGAGCAATGTGGTGATTCACTGCTCCTGAACACACCAAAGGACACTT